CTGTTGGGCACCGCGTGTCTGAGCAGTGTGGGAGCTGCTCCGGAGCTCGGGTTGTTTGCTGGGATTCCCAAAGGATCTTGTCTTTCTCTGTGGTGGCTTTGGAAATCTTAGCTGAAAAGTGCTCGTGGCTCTGACAATGCTGGTGAAAGGCAGCTTTCGCGCTTTACCTGTGGTGCTCTCAGTTTGAGGTGGATCTGTACCAAAATGAGTCAGCCTGCCAGACTCCCCTGGACCAGCAGTACCATGAGGAGATCCTGAAACTGGAGAAAGCTGGAGGTCGGAAGAACTGTCGCATCTTCACCTACACTGATCATGACCGATTCACCAACCTAGAGGAGGTACCAGCTCTTAGTTACGCATAATCTATGTAGCAGTGTTTGTCAAAACCAGGCCTACTGCAGAGGGAACATTTGTCAGTTCTTGGCCATGCAGAAGCAAGCAGACATCCTGTGTGCAGGAGAACATACTGCTTCTGCAAAGCAGCTTCACCTGGTGCCCCAGACCTGGGATGAGATCTCCCAGTTTCAGAACGATGGTCAGGGCAGCTTGGAAGGAGTTGGCTTTGTAGCATTGCTCTATAGGTAACTTGTTGGGTGAAGCTTAGCTGTGCTTTGCCACAAGAACAGCGAATGAAATCTACAGTCTTTTAGCAGTTTTTCCTTGCACGTGGGTGCGTATGTACCTGTTCTCTTCTCCAAGAGTGGAGCTGTGTTTGGGAAAGGTGTCCTGTTATAATTAAGCTAGTTCTGGTCTGTTTCTCTCTTCCAGCACTGCCAGAAGGTAACTGACTCAGATCATGAGGTGCCATCGTATCTGGCAGAGAGGATGGCCAATGTGAGGAGGAGAAGACAAGACCATAGGCCAATGTGAGTGCAAACTGGGGCTCGGAGCTTGCTCATGCAGGTTTTCTGGTGCTGGTGCCCCAGCTGCGGAGCAGCCTGGTCCATGGAAGTTGGTGGCTTGAGCTGTGTCGCACTTGGAATCTGGCAATTTGACTCCTAGTTGTGGGGGGTTCGGTGCTGCCTGTGCTGGGCTGCTGAGGTGAGCTGTGACTTGTGCTGTTCTGTTGTTGACAGAGAAGCAAGTTCTCTAAAGTCCAAAATCATCACCTGGGAACCCTCAGAAGAATTTATAAAGAACAATCATGTGATTAACACTCCTGTCCAGACCATGTACATCATGGGAGACTTGGGACCTTATGGGAAGTAAGTAAAATCCTGAAGTGATCTTAATTTCCCAGCAGGAAACCCATCTTCCCTCCTTACTCAAATCTCCTGTTTCTTTCATTAGTTAAGGGGAGAGAATTCCAAGAGCTCAGTAACTCGGGCTATTTCTTTCTGCCACTTTCCTCAGTTGGGAGGTAACTGAGTGTATCCCTCCAAAACGCTTCTTAAACTAGTGTAGAAAAGTATGGGTGTGTTTGTTCCCTTCTGTACCCCCATGTGCCTTTACCAGCTCTGCTGTTCCAGAGCAAGAGAGTGTCCGTCTTCTCTGTTTAGACTGTGTTTCTTGACGTCTTCCATTAGGCTTGGTCACAGGGAGTACGAACATGTTCTTTGCACAATCAAGGTGGACGGTAATGGGGTAATCACAGTGAAGCCTGATTTTACTGGCACCAAAGGAGCCTACCGGTGAGTGGGACAGGGCTGGTACCTCTTGTGGGACTGATACAGGGGGCTGAAACGGCTGTTTCCTGGTCACCCTTCAGGATCAGCACTTAAATTGAGGGATTTTTTTTAGTTTTATTCCAGAGATTTCTAAGAGAAGATTATTGTGTACTTGTGCTTGGTGTCACTGCATATGTGATGTGTGGGGCTTTGGTGCCAGTCCCTAGGGATACAGGTTATGCATATGCTGGACACAAGCAAGTCTCCCTTTTTGAGTCATTGCTGCTGGCAGGCACTTGGGAGTGAGGAGAGGGCCGTTAGTGCCCTTGTGTTACTGCACAGGCCTGGTGGAGGGGGGACTGCTGTGTCAGGATGGCACAGTTGATGCTGTTGCTGCCTGTGCCTGTTTTCTTGCATAATGGGGGAGTCTTGCCCATGTGTTTTGGGGCCCTTGCAGGATCGAGCTGGATGGAGAGAAGCGAGAGGTGTGGAAATACACCATTGAGAATGCGTCTGTCCAAGTGCAGCCAGAGGAGGAGGAACGCGAGCAGCGTGTGTTCAGAGACGTAAGGACCGGCCTCCACTGATCATATTGACTAGTTCTCCTGAGAGAGAGCTCAGACCCTTATGTAGATATAATTGTTAGTGCTGTAGACACCTAAAGCTGACAAAATGAATGTCACTGGCAGTGAGTCTCATCTCATGCCCAGCAATTTGAGAACTCCAACAAATACTCCCTGACCGGTTCATTCCTTACTCTAGGTAGAGGCCTTGTTGGTTATTAGGTGTGTTGGCCTCTGATTGCAGTGATCTGTGTAGTGAGAACTGATGCAAGAAACCACCTAAATTAGTGCCTTTCTAGTGTCACCTGCCAATGGTTTTCATTCCCTTTTGAGCAGTGGGCAAACCCTTTCCTTGGTCTTCCTCTTGCTGCCTCTGTACTTATTGAATGATTTCTTGTTACCCATAATGTCCTAGGATATTTGGATCTCATTTTATGTCTTGATCTTTCTGAATTGCCTTTTTGGCTGTGGCAGTTTATAAAGGTACTTAATGTTTTAGGTTTTCATTTGTACATTTCCTTACTGGTTTTGTGGTCAATAAGGAAATCATGATTTCACTACACTGATCTCCCATCTGTTGATTTCATTGGAATAATTTATGCCTGTGTTTTTAACACGTCATTTAAGATCTGATTCTTCAGAGCTTCTTCTTCCCTTAGATTGGCCTTTGACGAGGTCTTCTCTGAAGTTCCATGCAGTGTTAGCAGTTATGCATCTTTGTTCTATTAGATTCTTATATTCACTATATCTGCTATAATAATTAAAAAAACCCTGTGTGCTAAACCTGTCAACAGTTTAAATTGGTTTTAAGTTATATCCATTACAATTTTTGCAATAAGTAAAAACATATGTAATCAAAAGGACACTTTTTCTAATCCGCTTGTTCTGTGTTTTCAGCTGTATGGTCGGCACAAGGAATACCTCAGTGGTCTCGTAGGCTCAGAATTTGAAATGGTGAGTACCAGCAGCACTCGGCAGGGACCTGGAGCCCTGCTGCCTTTGGAGACTGTTGACCTGGTTAGCATTGCTGCCATTTGTACCACAGTCTCCAAAGACTGTCTCATTCTGGGGGTGTGTTGGCAGCTTTTACCTTGTGGCTTCCAACAGAAAATTGGCTCAAAAGGGACAGGCTGCAATGGATATGGGGCCTGCAGAGATCCATCCTGCATCTGTCGGACCAGCAGCAGAGCGTGCTGAACGCTGCAGTCTCTGTGAGACTGCATGCATTGTCTGAAGGCCTTTGACTATAACACTTTAAGAAGAAACGGGATCACTGTCTTCTGGAATAGTGATTGCTGTTAACTTCTTGAATGTCAAACACATCTATGTGCCACTTTGTTCAAGTAAACAGTCCCTCCCACCCCCAAACTCATGCATAGTTTCCCTTCTCACTGAATTACCCAGACTGCCATCTTTTTTACTCAAATCTTGTTTGCCAAAGTGTGAAAGTTGTTGTACTTTCTTGTTCTTTGATAGAGTGTCTCAGCTTGTCCTATGCTTTCCCCCGCTCCCCCCACCTTGGGCAAGAGCAGGAACACTACAGGAGAAACAGGGCTATGATTTCTGCAAGTGACTTCTCACTACATTTTATATTTATCTTGAAGTCTGTAAGAGACTGATTTGCAGAATAGTAAACTCCTGCAGTGCAGGAATTTGGTGTCTCTAGAGAGCCTCTCTCCAGAGGGACTGTTCATTTCTAGAAAGTGATGTGAGAAGTCCTGACTCCTACCTGGCCAGCAGAGTGAATCATTCATGTACGAACATCTGTGAAATATCTGTGTGAGACCCTGTTGGGAGGGGATTGTATGAGGTTCCACCGGTGGTCATTGAGCTCTTTATCTTGTTTATCTGCTTGTTCTTCCAGACTCTTCCTGGTACACTGCGGCTTTTTGTGAATGGAGAAATAGGTGAGTCCTTCTTATAAACAGTAACTATAGGGGCAAATCTGGGTCTGCTGGGATGGCTGAGGCTATAAAGGGTTCAAGGATTCTTGGGTCACAGGCCGGTCCAGAATAGGTGATTCTCTCCCTAGAATCCTTTACTCCTTCCTTCTCCTCCCCTGTTTTTGCAGCCTAACTCCTTGAGTGGCATTAACAGATTGAAGGTTACAAATACTGCAGCTGTTCTAGGAAGACATACAGATCTGAAAAAGGAGAGCAGATTGGGAAGTTAATAGAGATTATAGCAAAGAAAGCAATTAAACGTGTGACCTCCCTAATCTGGTTAGTGATATGGGACAGGGCTAGTCTAGAGAAGGAATCTTCCCTGAGGGTCATATTCTGTTACTTTGAAGACCCTGGCTTTTCCCAGCTTCCAGCAGTAACTGGTTGTCCCTGAGGTTATTGGTGTTGGCTCTCCCAAAAGTCTACAGTGAGTTCTGGAGGAGTTTGTGTGGAAACAAGCAGCTAAAGTTCATTCTCCCCTCTCAGTTTCAGCTCAAGGCTATGAGTACGACAACCTCTATGTTCATTTCTTCCTGGAGCTGCCTAACCGTAAGTATTCACGTTTCCAGCCATATTAGAGCAGTTTAAGGAATGAAGCATGCTTTGGCTGGTCCATTAGGTCAGCTCTGCTGAAAGTCAGTAAAAGTTAGCATTGGCGCTGGGATCTAGTCAGAGGTCTTCAGAGCTGAAATTGCAGAAGTCAGTTGTTTGAACTAAACTCGTGTCTGGGAGAAAGTAGCATCTTCCCCTCTCGTCTCTTCCGAATCAGGCTGGGACGTAGAGGTCCATTGGCTTCTCAACCAGTGGTGATGGTGTCCAGCAGTTTACCCAAAGTTTATTCCTTATACTGCAGAGAAAAGCCTTCATGTCTTCTCCATCTCAGCAGTGACCTTGTCTGATTTCAGTGCTTACCATCATGTTCTCATGTTTTGTGCTGACACTAACATATTAAATTTTGACTGATATATAAGGTTCCCAGCACTAACAAGCACATCCTGCTGCATGTTTAATTCCCCTGAAGCTGTGGCTCTGGCTCCCCTCTCTGGTTATACCCTGATGTTTGTCTGAAGAAGTACCGCTTTTGCTACTCAGTACATTTAAATGAGGTTCTACTTTTCTCTTAAGACGGAGTTGGTGCTTTTCATCGACAGTTCAGGGCGTTCTGGGGAGCAGCTATTGCCTGGAACAAGACGGGGTGGGACACACCTAGGGAAATTCAGTGTGGGTGATGTTAGCTGTTATCCCAGTCATCTGGGACTGACAGTTCTCCTTTGAGCTGCTCTGGTTGGTGAGTCCACCCTCTCACCCAAAGCATTCACCACTGTGCTCATGTTCTCTTCTCCCAGAGTGGTCGAGCCCCGCGTTCCAGCAGCTATCAGGAGTGACCCAGACCTGTGCCACCAAGACAGTGGGCTGGGTAAGGACACTTTCAGACCTGCAGAGCAGTTTGAACAGGCATTCTCTGAAATGGAACATGTGTAACAAGCTACAGATATATTCAGCATAGGTCCTGACTTGAGAGCTCTTTTCAAGGGCAGAGCGTGTTTGGGATTCTCCTCATTCTAGTTATACTTGCCATTTTTCAGGGTGCCACTGTGTCCAAATAAAACTGCTTCAAAGCAGTTTTTGGAACCTCATTTTTTTCTTCCTTCTGGCTGATTGATTGCCTTTGGAGCTTTTGATTTTTGTGTTCTCAAATGCTCAGAGTTAACAAAGCATTGTTCTGGCTTGCCTGGGGCACACAGTCTCTAAATTGATTTCTCAAAATGAACCCCTCCTCCTATCTGGGAAGTTGGTTCCATTGCTGTCTCCAGCTCCTCTCTTACAAAATTTGAATTTTATCAACTTTTTAATGTCTTTTATGTGAGCTAGTTTGCATATTACAAAAATAATTATCATACAACATTTCAGTAATACCATTGTTTGACGTATTTTGCTTGGGTCCTGTAAAGATTATGGCGGTGCAGTAGTTACGCAGCTGGCTGAATTGTTGTTTGATCTTTCCCCTTTTTCATTATTTTTAACAGCTGTTCCATCAACATGGCACTTGGGAGTGTATGCAAGTCCATCATGCAGTCAGGTGTTTGTTAGTGTGATGTGATTGATCTTGTTTGGGGATCATTACCTCTCTTCCACTAGTAGTTCTTTTCTCCCTGCTTTCTGTGCCCCCTGCAATGCTGGTGATGAATTCTCTTGTCCAGGAATCTGATTCTCTGTCCTGTTCCTTTTCTAGGATAACGTGGCATACTTCTGCTACCCCTTCACTTTGGAGATGTTTTTCACCCAAGGAGACGAATCGGAAGGTGTGTTTCCTTGTTGCTCTGAAATGTGAAGCTCTGAAATCTTTTGATCACCGTGTAGGCATCATGCTGTCTGGCACGTTGGCCCCTCGCCAAGATGAAAGGACAGATTTAAACAAAGGGAAATGTTGCTCATTCAGCAAATGTTCACCCTGTCACCGCACAACCTCTGGATACATACTATATTTGCCCTGCCCAGCAATGCGTTAGCAGTTGTATGGATTCATTGATGTTGCTCTGTTTTCAGGCTGTATTCAGCCTTATCCGGTTGCAAAACTACTTGGATCTTAGCTTGTCTGTCTCAAAATGCCTGACATACAGGTCTGTGTTGCCACGCCTGGTGTACGGCATAAAGCCCTGGGACTCTGCAGCAGAAGAAACAGGCAGCTTTTTTGTACACAACTAAAACTCTGAGTCTTATGTTTGTAGACACACTCAGTGACCTGTATAATCTTTGTATAGTTTATGTCACTTTGAAACTTCCAGCTCTATTTTAAGCTGGGCTTCTCTGCTGCCTATTCCTGTTGCTTCACTACGCTACTGCTGCTTCCTCACCAACCCCGTTGCTCTTTGGATTGCAATTGCTAGGGACAGCTTTGTGGCATGCCTTGCCACTTGAATCCAGTGTACGCATTGGATTTGAGTATTCAACCAACACTAATGAATTTGAGTATTCAACCATCACTAATGAATTTTCATCATAAACACAATGAGTTTGTTTCACCGTGGAAGAAAGAAATGCTTGGAGACCTGTAGGAGAGTCCAAGTTAATAATCCCCCAATAATGGTGGGAAAAGTCAGAGACAAAAAGGTTCCCCTGTTTGGCATCAGATCATTCACAAAAAATCATCTTGTCTGCTCAAAGATAATTGAGGAACCAGTTTGGACTTGCTCTCAAAACAATTAATTTTCCCAAATTTTTAACACCTTATCAATAATTCTGTTTTCATCCTCAAATCTGAGGGTTCAGCTTTTACAGGGGAAAATAATCACCCATACATCTAGGTTAGTCATTGTAGAAGAAATATAGAAGGGACTTCCTACTAGTGGAATTAGGCATTCAGCATTTTTTTTTTCTCTGTAATATTCTCCTTCACAAAGCTGTGATCTGCTCCCCTTCCTTGCAGACAGTCTCCCTCAGTGGCCTGTTCTCTACTTTGAGGTCCTGTCCCTGGATTTCTGGCAGAGGTATCGCGTTGAAGGATATGGTTCTTTGGTGCTGCCAGCATCTCCAGGTAAAACATAACTCGGGGCATTATGTTAATTGTCTGGGAGAATGAGTTGAGCAGTTCTCTTGGGAATGGATTCAGCTGGTCCTGGGGAGGCTTTGCCTTTGCATACTGAAGAGGATAGTTAGCTGTCTGTGGGGCAGCAAAGAAGGATTTGATGCATCCTGCACCGTTCTTCCGTGTTGTTGAGACGCATCATGCGTTGCTGTCCTTGCTCCTTCAGTGGTTCCGTCACAAAATTTTGTGTGATAAAGCTCTGGGGCGATGCTACATATCCATCTTTACAACAGTCGTATAGCCCTCTCTGTCCCACATGGAATCTGAGGGTCACAACTATTCTGATACCCACATGTAGTAAGGAGTTGCTCCTCATGGGCAGGGGGTACTTCCAGCGCTGGCTGTGAGACTGTATGGGGCTGACTCATGGGGAAAATGTTATAGAGATACCGTGCAGTGTTTCCATTTCCAGCCTACTGTGGTTTGGGTCAGCAGGTGTCCATCTACCGTGTTGTCCTCTGTGACTTTGAATAGACTGTTGGTCATAGCTGCTAAGCTGTCCTATTGTCCTGGGCCAGGTCTCCACGTGCTCACCATCCCTACCTGGCGCCCTGTGGAGCTGGGGACAGTCGCTGAGCTGAGGAGATTTTTCATTGGTGGATCTCCTGAGCTGGAGGACATAACCTACATCAGGATACCATCAACCTTCAAGGTGGGCTTAGCTGCAGGGCATTGCTCTTGCTGGGAGATGGTAGATGATGTTCTTGGCTTCAGATGTCTGTGGATAGCCTGGACCAGATTTGAACAAGGATGAGGTCCGTCCCTCTGACTAAAGAAATGTCTCCTCTGTGAGACTTGTAGTCATGAACAGAGGAGCGGCAAACGCTGAGGCAGAGCTCTTTGCCTTCTGAAGTGTTTGCCGCTTAGAGAAGTGGGTGAACATGGACCAAAGCTTTGACTTACCCATGCCTGTGCTGGTCCTGTCCAGAAAGTGTCTGTCAGGTCAGCGTTTGTTACCAGCTATAAACTTCTTCCTGTGTTTTTGTAAGGAATTTGGGCTGTACTGTGCCTGGAACAGTTTCCCGAGTCAAGAAGCCAATGGGTATGAGGCAGGCAGAAATTTCACATTCTAAAGAAAGCTGCAGAGGTGCTTGCTGGTGTAATGAGCAAGTTGATCTTAGTAGCAGCTTTGTGTGGGAAGGAGCCCTGATGCAGTTGTTTAAATCTTCCTCCAGCACTGCACTATCAGCTTGCTAGTGTTTAGGTCCTGCCCTCAGCACAGCCTGGAACTGTCTGCCCTTCTTTCTGACCGCACTTTCTGTGTGCAGCAGGGAAGGCAGAGACTCTGTGCCCACAGGAGTGCATGCTCCTGGTGGGACAGGCTTGTTTTCACTAGGGTCAGCCTGCTGCAGCAGGTTGCCAGCTGTAGTTATTCTAACTTGTGCCGTCTTTGCAGGGGGAGCGTCTGAGCCGCTTTGGTTTTCGCACAGAGACAACAGGGAGCGTCACGTTCAGGCTTTACTGCCTGCAGCAGTCTAAGTAAGTGCAGCAAAGTGAGTACGAGCTCCATCTTGTGTGCTGTGTTTTGGCAGCCCTGAACTCCTACTGTACTTCTGTGCAGAGCCTTTCTGGAAACCAGTGCCCTGAGGCAGCGCATGCAGAGTGTACTGGACCGGCTTGGAGGCTTCAGCCAGCAGAGCTCTGTCTACAACGTTTTGGGTAGGGCTTTCAGTGTCATTCTCCCTGGCGAGCCTTTGGCTCACTTTTGCCCCGTTTTTACAGAATGGGCAGGATATTTCAGGAGAATCCATTACAGTGGGGATAATTGCCCCCCCATGAGCTCTCTGAGTGCATAGTAGAGGTTAAATGTTCTGATCTGAGCTGGAAACTTCAGGAGGCATCAGCTTTCAGCAGGCAGGAGGGATAACCACTCTGTGAGGGCAAAGCCTGGGCTGGGCTGCCCAGTCTTACCTGGCACTGAGCGTCGCTTGTGGCGCTGATGCACAGGCTCTGTCTCTGATTCCATTACGCACAGAGCAAAGACAGTGCTAGCAAGAAGTGAAGAGAGCAGCAAGAACTAGGTGCTTTGTTGGTGGAACTTAGTAATAGGAAGTGAGACTCCTGCTCCGGCAGAGATGATGTTCACTGGACAGACTCATCCCTCCCCTTTCCTGAGGCTGTCTGATGCATTCGGGCTTGCTGTCACCTGCTGTGTTGCAGAGGCTTTCCAGAGGGCACGGCGCCGGATGCAGGAAGCACGCGAGAGCCTTCCTCAAGACCTCATCAGCACCTCTGCCTCCACTGTGCACCAGTCTCAGGAACCATGATCGACCACCTCCACTGCCTGGGAGCACTCAGCATCTTCTCTCCATTTTTCAGCAGGAGTCACAGTGCTGGTGCCTGGAAGCTTTTGAAGCTCGCCCTTTGTCATTTTCCCTGGGTGGGGAAGGAGTCTGTAACGCATCCAGACCCAGAATCTTTGCATTTCCACAGGTTCCTGTGGAAGGAGCCCCATTTTTTCAAGGCATTTTGTTACCAGGCCCTAACAATACAGTTAATTGTTCACATTTCTGCTGAGCAGACTGAAATACTGACCTGTGAACCCTTTAACACCTTTTCAGGAATTGAATAGTAAATGATTAGAAAAATTTTGAGTCTACATGACTTGGTAAATTTCGTTTTCTTCTTAAAGAAGAGGGTGATGTTGAAGGTCAAGGCATGAATGCTGTTTGAGATTTAATGAGTAGATAACTTCTTGAGAAGTGCTGATAATCATTGTCAGCATCTGTAGCTATAGGTCAGTCAATAGTAAACTGAAACTGTCCACCTGTGCCTTAAGATTGATTCATTCCTAGAGAGAGCTCTCTGCCACCAGCAATACACGAAAGCAAAGCAAGGGAATAAAGTTTGACAGATTGAGAACTGGAGAAAAGGGTTACATTCTGTATTTCCTTGTATGTGCCCATTACATTTCTGGTCCTGTAGTGATGAGCAGGAGGATTCTTTGTTCAAGAATACAACTGAAAACATGCATTCCCCTTAGTTCATAGCAGGACGTTGGCTGGGCTGGACGGTTTGCAGACAACGAGAGCAGATTATAACATTTACTCAGCAGCTGAACTTTGAACTGTTCAAGCTGTTCATTTGAGCTATGGTTCATTGTTCCACCTCTGATTGCAGTACACTGCATTGCTTACTGGGGAAGCGTGTGTGTACCCAGTTTTTACCCAGTTTCTTTTGTTCTTTTCTCAGACTCTTTTTTTTTCTTTTTTTTTTTTTTTTTCTTCCCTGTTCTTGTTCCTGTCTCAAGTTCACAGGAGCGAGGCTACCTGCAGACTGACAGTGCTGTGTTGACTTGTGCTCGAGTCACTTTTCCATGTGTTCTCCACCTCTGCTCCCAAAACAAGGGGTAGGAAGAAAAATCATGCAGGCCTGAATGTGTCTGTAAAGTTAGAATTCACAGGTAGAATATGAAATAGGAATTGGCCTTCCTCCTCTTGCTCTGCACGTTCCTCCTTCGCAGGGAACATGAGACTCACGGTTGCAGCCATGTGTGTGATTTTTAGAACCATCCCCCTCTTCCCTGGCGCTCTGTTGTCTTCCTCACTCCCTTTTTGCCATTTTGATCTTGTCCCAGCCTTCACTGGGAAAACCAAAATCCTGGGTTTGTTCCTCCTTGACCTTTGTTGTAATTCCTAGATCTGTCTGGCAGCTTGAATGGGTCTGGCAATTTCAATTATAAAAGAGGATTTTTGCTCACCTTCATCGTCTGCTACCCCTCCTTTTTGATGGAAGAGGCTGCCAGCATGCATTCGATCGCGTGGCCTGTAAGCAGAGCAGAGTGTCCTTGGCCTAGAGCTGGATGATGTGATTGAGGTGTGTGCGCTGTCATGGTCTTTAACGATACAGTCACGTTTCACAGAGATTGACCCACCCAGTACCCAGGATGAAAAGTGTTCAGTGAGTATGTAGTGCTCGCTATCTCTTTTTTTTTAACATAATTCACATCATGGCACTGTATGTTTATTGCATGCTATCTAAGCCATACTTAATTTCCTTCTGGGTGTTTCTGTTGTGCTTATCACTAATAGCTGAATTGCACGTCTCTGAAGCCCTTTTCAGGATTGAGTTACAAGGTTAAGAGAATATTCTTTTTATCAATAAAGTAACAAAACACCTTTCTGATTGAGATGATGCCAAAGGCAGATCCTGTTAGAGGGTGGACTCTTCTAATTAGAAGATCAGGTTCCTGACTCATCCTCGTTGCTCAGCACATTTATAGGATTTGCTGTATTGAGTGTTAAGGTTACACAGAGATGCAGTAAGGCTTATATAATGATGCTAGTTTTGCTAGCCAAAACTCTGAATAGTGTAAGATCTTACAGAAACTCAAGAGAGCAAAATTTTAAAATAAAAAATTACTATAACCAAAGAAGCAATTTTTCCAAAATAAGACATTGTTAACAGTTTTTCACTTTCATGCTTGCAGCCTCCTTGGCCTGACAGGACAAAGTGGTGCTCATAAAAGATGTTTTGGAGAAAGCCTTCAGCAAATGTTCTTTGAATATGCCCTTTTATAAATTAAACTAGCAAATTTCCATAGACATGTACATGTATGAAAATGTCACTGATCTTTTAATCAAAACCGGCATGTGGTGCAGGGCTTGTGCTCGGAGCTTGGCAAGGAGCCCAGACAGCTGGAATGGGGGGTCGGGCATCCACCAGGTATGCACGGATGAAATAGCAGATGGCCCATGGGGACAGGCAGAAGGGGAGGCCAGTGATCTCCCTGGAGCCGTGAGGATTTCCCCTGTACAGAAGTGTCCCTGCTGTTTGCACCGGAGGGGTGCCTTGCAGTGAAACTCAGCAGGAGAAGGGAGAGGCAGGGTCCGTTGCGGGTGCCAAGAGCTTGGGACGGGAGGGCACCAGTTGGGACGGGGCGCCTGGCAGGCCGTGAGCTGAAGATGGAGGGAGGCTGGGGGGCAGGAGGAGCCCGCAGCAGGCGCAGGTGAGGCAGTGCTGCAGACTCCTGGGGGGACCAGAGTGGGTCTAGCAGTGAGACTCGGAGGTCTGTGCTGTCCCCGGTGCATGGCCAGCAGCCCCCCAGCTCTGGCTACATCAGCTGCAGCAATGTCGCTGGTTTCTTCCTTCAGGGCAGACTGGAGCTGTGATGGTTTTTTGAGTGCCAGCTGAACTTCCAGCTGAACGGGCATATGCTGAGGCTGAATCCTGCAACCTTACCAGTAATGTGGTCTGGATGGGGGCAGGAGCCAGCTGAAAGTCCCTAGGGGCCTTCTGGGCATCTCATTAAATAAACTATGCAAACAAAGGGTAATTGCAGAAATGTCGGCTTGGTGGACGAAAAGGCTGTGGGCAGTTGGCAGAGCTTGCATGATGCAAATCAGCAGCCATTAGAAATTCCAGTGTAAATGTAACAGAAAAAGAAAACCTAGAATGAGTCATTCATGTGACTGGGGGAACAGCTTTCCACCAAAGAAGTCAGACCCCAGGAATGAGTTTTGCTCTCAACTGAGGAAGATTTGGGCTGTGATAACTTCAAACTAGAGCCTTGTCGGCAAACCTCAAACACCCCTTTGGCTTGGTCCCATTCCAGTGCTTGTGATGGGCCAGGGACACAGCGCTGTGACTGCTGGGGACATTCTGGCCTGGGAGGGTGGGCTGTGCTGCCCACCTTCCATACTGCCATCCCGGCAGCCGGAGCACGTGCACCGAGGAGGTGTGTTTGGGAAGGATGTTGGGCTGCGTGCGAAGCGGAGCTGCCAGCTCTGGGGGAGAAGGAGCTGCAGCAGGCGTGCGTCCTGCAGAGATTTGTCTTGTTGCTGCATGGTGCGTGGGGAGGGAGAGGCGTATTTTATCTGCACTGTGGGGTTTAAATGGTCATTATTAAACAACTACTGGAGGCTGCTTGTTGGCTCAATATATTTTAATTTCAGCCACTGGGTTGGAGTATCAGAGGAAAGCTCCCTGCAGGCCCTCTCCTGGCAGTGAAGTGGCCTTTCAGCCCCAGCTGCCTTTTTATTATGCTTATTGTCTTCTTAAGGTGCAGCCTGTGTTCTCTAAAGCTAATGTCAATATTTCAATGCAAGGCAGGGTACAGCTGACCCCAGCAAAATCACACTTCATTGGATCAGTCAAAAAATAAGTGTCTGTGTGCCCCTTTTCCTGCATTGAAATCACTGCTTTGGTTAAAGTGAACCCTAGTGCCATGTAGACTGGAGGTACTTCCCTTTCTCTCTCATCTGTCAAGATCCTTTTCTAGAGTCATACAAAAACTCAGAAAGGACTGAGAGACTCAGACTTCTCTATGGTTATTCACAAGTTCTTAAAAAAAAAATCTGACTTTCAAAACAGTTGGGAGAATTTTTCCATTGTGTGAGAGAGAAGATTGTCTTGGAGGTGTGCAATTCCGAGTTGTTTCAAGCTTTCCAGATCTGAGAATGAGCGGATCGGTCCTTTGGGCAGGTGGGAAAGGTGGATTTCCAGTGACTTAATCCAGCCTTAGAAAGCCAGAAAGGTCAAGCTGGATATCAAGATCTAGTCCACTGCTCTCCTTCAGGCAACATCACCTTGACTAAATCAAAGCCTGAGAGATGTTTGTTCAACCTATTCTTTACATGAAGATGGAGACTACAGATCGTCCATTCCAGATGTTTGGGGTTTTTTTTGCTGTAGCAAATTTTCTTGTACAGAGCAATTGACGGTGGCAGCTTGTGCATGAGCTGAGCAAAGCCTGTTGTCAGGCGACTGTTGGAGGCGTGAGGAGGAGGGAGCGTGTGATTCCTGCCAGGTGGTTATTGTTTCTCTGGGGGGTTCCCGTCCCACACTGCCAGTGACTGTGATAGCTTGTTCTCTGCTGCTGGTCTCCTTGTGAGCGCTGTGATGCTCTCTTACAGCTCTGGAGATGGCACTGGGAGTCTGAGAGGTCAGACAAGCTGTAGACCCAAGTGAACGGCCGCTTTTCCTGCTGCTGCTGGAAACTGTGAGCCCAGCTTGCTTCTCAACGCTTTGCTTGCAATGTCCAACATTTTCCACCGCAGTTGTGCTTGCAAGGGCTGGACTCCCTGCCTTTTCCCCTCGGTCACCTCTCCTTCTCCATCCTTTCCCGTCTCCTGTCCCATTTTGACTTTTTCTTCTTTGTGTGCATGTCACACACAGATCTCTGTATGCGTTTAGATCTGTGTTTATTCCTTTCTGTAGTTTAATCCTGGATGTAGTTTTGGCCCTGCTTTCTCTCTGCACTCACCTATGCCCCCTGCCCCTCACTATTAGCACAAAAGCTGTTGTGCTCCCTTGTGCACCCCTGCAG